CTGCAGCGCTTGCGTGACGTGCTAGTGTGAACATGTTGATCTCCATATGAAAACCATAAGCTTATTTAGAAAATTAGGCTGTCTCATTTGAGATTAGAGTTTCTCTTATAATCTGCAAATACTTAATTAGCATGGAAATGGCTAGTTAAGTGGGGTTCTCAGTGCACATAAAGCCACATTCTAGCGTGGTGGTGCTCCCTAGCAGCTGGTGTGCTTCTCTTCAGGATGCTGGACAAGTTCCTGTCTCTCAGACCAGGCAGAATGATCTGGATGCAGCAGGCAAAAGCAGACCACAGCACTGGGCAGACATGAATGTGTCCCTTTCCTCCTGTCCAGCTTGTCCCCTAAGAGATGATGGCAAGAGCTGTTTGCTCCACAGGATTATGAACAGTACAATGTGTTAAATGCCCCAGGTTCCCTGGTGTCTGGAGTCACAGCTGGCCACAGTGACTCTGGCCCCTGCCAGCACAGAGCTTAAGGGAGCCTTCCCCAGGCCAGAATGGCATGTCATCCCGGGAGCTGGAGCAGGGCCCTGCGAGGCCCTGGGGTGCTGCCATCCTCTCATGGCACCCTGTCTGCAGCCAGCTCTGGGTGTGGAGACCAGGGGCTCTCTCCTGACACCTGCAGGGACTTTGCAGGGCCTCTCCTTGGACTTGAATGACTTTGCACGTGGTTGGAGTGGGTATCTCGGTTAGAATCATTGAATCACTAAGGTTGGAAGAGACCTTTAAGATCTACTGTCCACCCAGCACCACCACTGTAACCACTAAACCACATCACCCAGCGCCAGATCCAGATGCCTCTTAAACACCTCCAGGGGTGGTGACTCTACCACCTCCCTGGGCAACCTGTTCCAATGCCTGGCCATCCGTACAGTGAAAAATCTTTTTCTAATATCTAATCTGAATCTCCCCTGTCTCAGCCTATGGCCATTCCCTCTGGTCCTCTCACTGCCAGCAGCATAGGAGAGACCAGGCCCCACCTCATCCAACCTCTTGTCGGGGAGTTGCAGAGAGCAGTGAGGTCCCCCTGAGCTTGCTCTTCTTGAGACTAAATAAACCCAGCTCCCTCCACCATTCCTCATAAGACATGTTCTCTAGATCCTTCACGAGCCTTCTTGCCCTTTGCTGGACACACTCCAGCACCTCAACATCCTTTTTAAAGTGAGGGGTCCACAACTGAACAGAGTACTCAAGGTGCAGCCTCACCAGTGCCAAGTACAGGGGGATGATCACTTCCCTGGTCCTGCTGGCTGTGCTGTTATTGATGCAGGCCAAGATGCCATTGACCTTCTTGGCCACCTGGGCATACTGCTGGCTCATATTGAGCTGGCTGTCAACCAGCATCCCCAAGTCCCTTTCTGCCCAACAGTTCTCAAACCACTCCTCCCCCAGCCTGTAGCACTGTGTGGAGTTGCTGTGACCTGGCACTTGCCTTACTGAACCTCATGCAGCTGTCCTTAGCCCACTGATGGAGTGTGTCCAGCTCACTCTGTAGAGCCTTCCTACCCTCCAGCAGATCAAGCAGATCTTGAGGTTAAACTGTCTTCTCTGGATCTGACTGGATCTTCTCTGGATCCCAGCCTTGTTTTATCAAGACATGCACACGCTGGCTTCAATGCTATGGAAAGACACAGTTGTAGGGTGAGTGTGATACTATTGTGTCCCTGTAATGAGAGGGTGGAGCATGCAGAAGGCCTGTCTGCTGCCTTGGGACTGCTGCTGAGCGTGGGACTGCCCTGCCATGAGGCTGGCCTGGCCCTGTCCTGGCTTGCTGTGCCAAGCAGCTGAGCTCTGACAGCGATGGGACATGACTGCCTGTAATGCCTGGGTAGAGCATGGTATGTTCAAGGTGATGTATATGGGGACAGACAGAAGAAGAAAGATGTATAGATGTTTCCTCCTGGCTCTTTGAGAGAGAGGAAGGTCTGTCTGCTCTGTTTCTGTCTATCTAATGCTGACTGTGGCCTGAGCCAAGTGCTTTTGGGGCACAGTCTGTCCTGGGCTGTGGCCAGTGGTGAGGACTGCTTGACACTTCACTTCCAAGGGCCAGAGTGGCTCTTTTTGTGGCTGTGAGCAGCCCTTGCTGCTGAGAGGAGGAGGCACATAGCCCAGTAGCTACCTCCTGCTGGTGTCAGAGCAGGCACTGTGCAGGGCACCCTCTGGGTTCACTTGTGTCTCCCACAGCTCATTCCTGGGTGTGAATCTGAGTAGAAACAAAGGTGTGTGCTGAGAAGTGACCACTCTGCTTCTGTCATGAAAAAACCTCCTCCTGTGCTCTATTCTCCCATGTCCTTTCTTGAACCCGTGCCCTTGTCCCCTCTGGTCCGGATGCTCATTCAGAGCGTGCCAGAGGGCTGGCCAAGAGCTCCTTCTCCCTTGCTTGTGCCAGTGCTGCCAGCCGTGCTTGGCTCGCCCAGTGCCTGGGCTTCTGCCCTGCCTCTTGTGAGCCCCTAAAGCCAGGGGTGGTCTGCAGCCTGCTGCACTCAGGGAACTGCCAAAGGCCTTCCCTGATACTGACTTTAACCTGGGAAAAGTTGTTCATGAGTCATGTTGCACTCCCAGGGGAAAACAGATACTAGGAATGGGTGGGTAGGTTACCCTGCCCCAGCCTGGTCCAGAGGTGCCCTGGGAAGGAGAACGGCAGGCTGCAGGCAGAGGGCTGCTTTGGCAGTGGGGTCCCGGCTCTCCTTCCTGGGCCACAGAGCCCAGGAACATCCCTGCCCCACACAGCCGATCCTGGGAGCACTGGACCTGCAGCATCACCCAGCTGCCTGCTCGCTGTCCCGGTGCAGAACCTGTGCCTGGCCTCCTGCTGCTGGCGATGAGGCTCGTGAAGCGAGGCTAGAGCTCAGTCCCTTGGGCTCGCAGTGCTGACTGCCCTTCCCTGCCTGCAGCCATTATCCTGCTGGCCCAGTCTCCCCTGCTTGAGATCCTGCCCTAGCTGGAGCACTGGGGCCCTGGGAACGGGCGGGGTGGTGCCAGAAGAGCAGCTGATGGGAGCAGAGGCCAGGAGTGCAGGACACCACCAGGGCTGATGGCAGCAGGGCCCTGCAGCTCTTGCTGGGCTCTGAAGGTAACAGAGTTGGGCCACTTGCTCACTGCAGCACCAAGTGTCTTGGCATCCTTCAGCCCTGTTTGGGCAGCTGCAGCTGCCTGTGCTAACACCATACAGGAGCTGGTGAGCATGCTGGGACCTGGGCCACTGAATGCGCGTGATCCACAATATATGATTTTTTATTTGACTATTTTGTTTAAAAATAAAAGTCCTGAAACCCCAGAGCTGAGTGATGGGCCTCTTGTAGGCCACACAACGAGAGACTTCCAGCCTGGGCTAGCCCCATGCTGAGGAACTTGTAGCAAGGTATTTATCTTGATTTTAGCTTGCTGGAAGTTTTGCTGCCATACAGACAATGTATGAGCCTTTCTCCTTCCCTGGTGTTTCATGGATCTCGGTGAAACCTCCAGTGTGCTCTATGTGGAACCCTCACTCTGCTGGGATGGGATCAGAGGGCCACAGGTGCCCTCTCTGGGCTCACTTGGGCCTTGCTCCGGGCATTGGAGGTGGACAGAGCTGCACTGGTGAGATGCAGCAGTTCGTGGAGGGGTGTGGTTGGGTGTACCAGTGTCCTGCTCTACTGCCTTGGGAGAATCCTGTGCTGCTGGATCCCATCCTGGTGCTATCCCCACAGCTGTGTCAGCTGGAGACATGCACAGGCATCATAATGCCAGGTGCCAGGGCTCAGCCTGCAGCCTGGAAGTTGATTGGATGGTGTGAGCTCTGTTTTGGGGCTGGCCGGCAGAAACCCTCAGTGTCTGCCAAGGGATGATCCAGGCACTCAGTTAAAAGTGTCAGGGAGCGAATCTTTGGGGCAAGGAAGTAGCGGGGAGAGCTCCCTGAGCACAGAAGGGACACCATGCCTTTACAGGGCTCTAAGGGACCTCACAGCCTTTCGATGATGGAAAGAACAGAAGAATATTTATTGAGTTCTGGAACAGGCTCCCCAAGGAAGTGGTCATGGCACCAAGTTTGTCTGAGTTCAAGAAGCGTTTGGACAACACTCTCAGGCACATGGTGTTGTTCTCAGGGTGTCCTGCACAGGGCCAGGAGTTGGACTCGATGATCCTGATGGGTCCCTTCCAGCTCGGCATATTCTATAATTCTAAAATCTGTGAGTGAAGGGCTGGGAAGTGTGGGAACTTGGTCATACAGACCTCTGGCACTAAGGTGCTGCTGGGAGCTGGGCTTGAAACTGCATCCCCTCTGGCCAGGCCTGTTATGGGGGAGTTGTTTGGGAATCACCCCTGCCTGCAGCCCGTCTGCTCCTGTGGGCTGTGAGGTGGGTGCTCACACAGCATCCTCCTGTGCTGCAGGGGCACAGGCCTGAGGACACAGCCAGCCCCAGTGCTGCACTAGGGCTGCTGCAGCTTGTGGGGAGATGCTGTCTGCCAGCATTTCTCTTCCCCTCCTTGCTTGCCCCATCCTTATCCCCATAGCAGCTCTTCCCTAGTCGTGGTCACAGGGCTTGCAGTCTGCCTCAAGCTCCTGCATCCTCTCTGTGTCTCCTTCTGCTGTTATTGCTGCTTGGCAGAGTGCTTTGTTTATTTACTGTGTCCCTCTGCTGCTGCAGAGTTTTCGGCATCCAATAAGTCTCTCAGTGGGGCCTGGGGTGTACCTGGGGCTCTGGGGATTTGGAATGTGTTCTCTGCTAGCCCCAGGTGCGCCACTTCTTGCTGAGACTGTGACTGCCAGGTTGGTCTTGCCCAATGGGTTTCAGGTAGCACCGAGCTGTGGGGAGATCTGTGGTTGGGCTCCTTGCCGTGGCTCAGCAGAGCAGATGTCCCCAGAGTTGTCCCTGGGAGTGTTTCACTCTGGCAGCTTTGTTACTCTGGGCAGCACTGGGGTTGGCTCGGCCTCCTGGAGGGGTGAGTGGAAGGATGGAGTGCCTCAGGTTCACCAGTCTCGTCATTGTGAATTTTTTTTTGTGTTGTGTCTTGCAGAAATAACATTCATCCCAGATTTGATGATAATGAAAATACAGAAAAAAGAAAAGCAGGTTTGTGACCCTCTCTCCTTCTCCCAACTTAGCTGGCAAGGCTGGGGACCATGTCCTGTGTGCTGTGTGGGAATTGTTGCAGTGGATGGGTGGTGGGAAGGAGGCCAGGGTGGGGGAAGGTTCTTGCATTTCCAGACAAGGTTGCAACTCAGCACCTTGAGATTTCATCTGAGCTGCAGCCTAGGGCGGGCCATTGATCAAGGTGGGTTTTGTCTGTAGTGGAAGTGTTCTTGATTTGGTGCTGTCCCCAGTGAAGGAGCAGCCTTTCTTTTGCCTCAAAGCCCATAGTATTGGTTCTTGATGGTATCTTATTACAAAACCACACATTTGCTGTGATTACAGTTACTAATATGATACCAAAGGACTAACACCAGCTGGGAGGCTGGGGAAGATCATGCCTGGGAGCTGTGTGAGCTTGGCCAGGGAATCTTCTTCCTTTACTCAGAAAAAATTCCATCCCACCAAGCTGCCATTTCTGGGTTGCTGCATTGGATCTTAACAACCTGCTGCTCCCAGAGGAGATTTATGAGCCAGTGGTCTCTGTATTAACCATGTGCAGGGGAAGAGCCTGACCATCGGCGCTCTGCTGAGGGGAAAGGACCTGTTACATGTGTGGAGCCTCGCTCTGCCTGCAGGGATGAAATATGGCTGGAGGTATAAAACAAACTGGTCTGCCCAGAGCTAATTTGTGTCTGTGCTGCTTTTAATGGGAAACCATTAAATTGAACGCAGAGCTAAGGGATAAATCTCTTTGAGAGCATGAGCCGGTACCATTTCTAACCAGCTCTGAAAGCAGCTGTGCTGCTCAGGCCACTCCAGATCACAGCACCATGGCAGGGTGATGGGAGGAGGAAGGGAGGGAAGGGTTTGGAAGAGGTGAGTGTGCTGTTCTGGGTTTGCAGCAAAGCAACTGCTGTGGATATTGGAAGGTGTGTGTGGACAGACCACCAGTACTGTGGGAAGTAGTGAGTTTATCAGTGTGTCCTAAAGATGCTGTGAAGAAGCAGAGCCAGCTTCAGGGTGAGGAGGAGAAGGAGAGTGTGGCAGGTCTTGCATACCAGCACGGCTGGATCGCTCCTGATGGGGCAGGGCAAGGCCTGGAGGAGAGTGAGGTGCCTTAGGGGATGGGTCTGTGATCTCCCTCCTCTGGTAGTGAAGCCCAGGTAAGAAGTCCACACCACTCATTGGGCTAATAATAGCAGGTTTGACTGCTGTGGAAATTCGATTGCTGAGATGATGTGGGTTTTAAGCACAGCAGAACCACCTTCCACCAGCATTTGGAGATTCTAGAGGGCTCAACTGCTGAATTGTTTTGTGTAACTGCCCCTGAAGATAAAATCTGTGAGGGAGATAAAGACATGCCAGTGTGAGCAGGGAGGGGTAGAGGTCCAGCTGCTCATCTCTTGAAGACAGTAGCAGTGTAGGACAATCCTTGCAGCATGTCACAGGGTGGGCTGCAGTGTTCCCAAGTTCAGTGTTTGGAAGAAAGCCTGGCCAAGCAGGGCTCCTGGGGGCACTGTGGGTTTCTGGTTGCAGTGGTGAAGGGCTCCCTGTCATGCTCAGCAGAGTGGCATTGAGGGCAGAACTAGCAAGAGGTGCTATTCCACATCACTCTGGATGCCTGAGCCCAGGAGCTCCCACACCTTGTAAACAGACTTCTCATGGCACCAAGGAGGTTGTTGCCTTCCATTCAGCAGTCTCTGGAGAAAATGAGATGCTTGTGTGGTTCCCAGGTCTCTCAAGGGTTATGCGTTTCCATATGTGTCTCCCTGCCAGCCTCTCACCTGCAGAAGCTCCATGTTGGTTGTCAGGTAGGTGTAGGTTCAAACCCATGGGTGAAAAGGCTGGCAAAATGCTGGCACCCATCATATTGCTGAGGGATGGCAGGAGAGCTGCCAGCTGCCTTTGGGAACAAGTAATGCATGTCCTCTCTTGCTTTGCCAAGCCCTTGGCTGCCCTAGGCCAGTGCCTTGTCATGCCCATGTCCACTACCAGTGGATTGGGAAACCTGGGCTGGAGAGCTGGGCTGTCTGGGAAGGAGCCCCTCCCTTGGTGCCCCCTGCAGCAGTGCCACTCTGCCTGCACAGAGTTCCTGGGCGCTGCCAGCTGGTGCACTGTCTGAGGGGCTGTTGTTAGCACAGGCGGGGTCTGTGTTTGCGTGACTCTTCTTCCTTAGTAAGGCATGAAAATCTGGTGGATTTGTCACCAAGCTGTGACTAACTTGTGAAACCTGTCACTTGCCTCATGACTTGGGAGTTTTCATGGCAGGGTGCCTTGTCTGCTGGCAGAGGTGGGACAGGGGTGCCTGGTTACCCCCAAGAGCAGTGACAAGCGATGGATTCCTTGGAGGGCTCAGCAAAACCATCGTTCCCTGGGCTGCCTCTCCTGTCTGTGTCCTGCTTGTCCCTGGGCACTGAAAGGTCTTGTATTCCTTATTTCTGTCAAGCTTTGACTTGCTGAATAACCTGAGAAATGTTGAACTAAAATAAATGCAGTTATCCCACAATGCCTGTAAATCTCCTTATTCTACAGTCGTGGAAATGCTCCCATCCTGCATGGACTGTGAGAGCAGAACAGCATAGCTTGCCTCTTGGAGATGGAGAGATTGAAAGCCCTGTGACCCCTTAGCTCCTGCCTTCTTCTGGAGGGCTCTTCTTGCTCTTCAGCCTGGGCTTGGAAGTGGTGGGAATCCCCTGCAGTCTGCGGCCGGCAACGTGGGAATGCAGTGGGGAACAGCCCAGGGCTGCAGGCACTGTGTGGCTGCTGGGCAGCCCTTCCAGCAGGGAGGCCTGTGGGAGGATCTATGGGAGCTCTGCTTGCCTTTGCTTCAAGCACTCACTGCGTAAAATGAAGGATTTTCCTAAATTTTATGGGTGTGTTTAAGCCAAGGGTGAGCTTTGCCTGCTGCAAATGCTGCTGAGGGTTGTTACTGGAGCTCCTTGGGACAGGAGCAGGGTCCTGAGCAGTGAGAGGCAGTGCAAGGAGACGGGAGCCATCCGAGCCTAAGGGCACTTGTGAATCTGTCCCAGGTGTGTCCGTGGGCTGCTGGTCCATACTGGGCTTCTTTTTGTCACAGTGAGACTGTCAGGTGTGATGACCCTCGGAGCTGGGTGTGTGGAAGAGTTTTGGGCACCTGCTCTGTAAGGATAAAGGGCAGGGGGAGCAGTGAGCTGCCAGGATGCTCTTCTCCTGCACCCATGGCCAGGAGCATTGGTCCTGGTCCTCCCCCATGGTCCAAGGGCTGCACAGGCTTTCTTCCCATGCTCTTTCCTTGACTTTCTTCCCACTCTGACAGAGAGGACTGAGCAGGGAGGACAGCCTGGACAGCCCAGGGCAGCAGTGTTGTCCTCTGCCCCACCTGTGCCCGGTTCCAGTGCAGTGGAAACACATGTCCCACTGCCAGGGCTGTCCTGGTCACAAGACAGAGCTTGCTGGCCGTAGTTGTTGAAGGCTGCATCGTGGAGGAGTGTCTTGGGAACAGAGCCAGGCCCCACCTCCGTCATGCACATCCCATGGTGACTGCAGAGCCTGCTCAGAGACATGATGGAAGGTGGCACTTGTGTATTTTTAGCTTCTGCTGCATTGCATTAAGAGCTGGAAACAAGGGGTGCGGGCATCCAGCAACGAGAACACAACAGCCCATGCTGTGCACACCACTGGTGGGGATGGCAGTGGGTGCAGAGGTTGGTTCTGCCAAAACCCTCTGTGAAAGAAGCTGCCTGTTCTGCTCCCGTTGGGCTCTGCAGCCAGCTGTGCAGAGAAACGGGGCCGGGGGCAGGCAGTGTGACCATCTCAGGGAGGCAGAGCTGTGTCACGGTGCCCATCCTGGGCTGCTGGTGCAGTGGCAGCCTGGACGGTGGCTTTGGACAGTGCTGTGGGGGGAAGCCAAGCAGCAGGGGTGCTGGGCCACACCTGGGCATCAGTCTCTGCCTAAAGAGCATGGAAACCTTTGATGGCCTCTGCAGTCAGGGTCCCTGTGGACACTCCATGTACAGAACAAATCTCTTTGGGGTTTAAGCCATGCCCTAGGCCCAAATGCTGGGCTTCTTTGAGGCTCTCCTGGTGGGCTGTAGAAAAGCCTGGCCAAACCTGCAGCAAATGGGGTTTGAATGGTCCTGGCACTTGGATGCAAGGTGGCGTGTGGCATGGCCACTGCTGCTGGCTGTGGTCACACTGCCCAGCAAGAGTGTGTTGTGTGGATGTTGTCTTGAGCCTAGTAGCCAGGGCAGCTGGATCTGTTCTTGGCTATAACCATGAGAAGTTCTCAGCTGTGGCCTCCTTGCTGGATGGAGCTGCCATTCAGGTCCCGAGGCTGTGGCAGAGCTTTGCTCTGCTGGGAACACTTTGCTCTTGGAGGGGAAAGTCTGCAGGATGGGCAGGGGGGTGGACATGAAGCTGTTGGTCCTTTCCCCTTCCTGCTCCCAAACGCGTGCAGTACTGCAGGGTTTGGATACGGATCAGGAGTGATGCTGGCTGGTGAAGAGGCTCCAACATCCAGCAGTGCTGATCCAACATCCACTTCATCCCCGTCACATGTCCCGGCAGTGCTGGCCTGTGACTTCTGCCACGTGGGTCCAGGGGAGCGAATCTCTGCTCCTGTCTCTCCCAAATATCCCATGGCAAGTGCATAACGTGTGTAATCAGTGCCACCTTTACAGGGCAGCAGATGTTGCTAGGCTGACTGACTATGGGGTGGGAACCCAGGAGCTTTGGAGCCAGGGTCTCACAGGCCATGGAGGGAACAGGGTTCTGGATGTGTGATGATTCCCTCCTGGCTGGGCAGAAGGTGCAGAATCTTTTGCCCCATCCAGCCAAGCCTGACCTCTTCTGCTGTACCTCTCCCAGGTGCTTGGGCCCAGTTTTCTCTTGTCTTCACCCAAAGCTGCCTGCTGCTCTCCAGTCTCACTTGCTTCTTAGGACTCTCATCACATAAGATCCTAGTGTCATCCTGGCCCCTTGTCCCTAACTGCACTGTCCTGCCCTCAGTTCCCTCCTTCTTC